ATTATGGTTGTTATTAATAGTGAATAAATAAAGCTTTTGAGACTATTATTTTGTGTTATTTCATTTGTAATTGGGGGGGGGTGCCCTTTTTCAGTTTCAGCACATGCCCCTCAAAAGGTCTGTGCATGGCCTTGTCTGCTAATTTATACCATTAAAATCCGGATCCTATCCAAATAGGCCTATTATTAACATGTTACGCAAATCTATGATAATGCTAATAATGCTATAGAGCTAACGCAATTTCAAAAATGAAAAACTACACCAAAGCAATTAATAACTTTATTAATGTTAATGTTACTGGCAACTGTACAAATAAAGCATATTTTAAAAGTATTCTTACCGAGTTCAGTCTTCTTCAAGCTGGCCGGCCGCAGCTTCTCCACTCTGAGGAGGATTTCTGAGACGGCACCGGTTCCGATCGCTAATCCGCGCCGTGTCCGTAATGAGTCCGCTAACTGTGCGCTGTCCGGAGACGGGGCATATTCTGGGCGAATGACCGTCTGACAGTACAGCGGAGCTGCCGACTTGAGGGCGGATCGGCCCCGGAGTCTGTTGCTATCAGGGCAGTCAGTTGAACAAAACCTTTTACAGTGCTCGAGTGTTGTTGTTTTTACTGCATATTATAATTCATACTCAGAAAGTAGAACTGAAATTACATTTATTACAAGATGATTAGTTAAAGCTGCAGTCCGTAACTTTTTTTGGTTAAAAATGATCCGAAATCAATATTTGAGCAAGTACATAACCAGCCAATGTTCAAAACTATCGCCTTACTTTACCCCGATTCACAACGGTTAGCTTATAATAATGTTTTCTAATTTGAGTGGTACAGGTGGGAAATTGAGCATGACACTGCATAATTACGTCCAGGCCAGACATTACTGTAAACATAAAGAAGTTGTCCCGGCTATAGCCTACTATAGTAGGCTATCGCATGTGAGAATCCTGCAGGTGGCGGATCGTTTATAGCCTTTTCTCACAGCAGCCAGAATAATTAAACGTATCATTTTGATGGCAGATTGTAATCCATAAAGGATTATGTGTTTATGAAACACATGTGAATGAAATTAATTATATTCCAGTTATAAATGTGCTTATGATTACAGATAGCCTGGGATTAAAAAGATTTGTATTTTAAAGAAAACCAGTTCGAAGGGAGGTATAATTAGCTTTTTGGCTTGAAAGAATTTCTTAATATGAAATTCGAAGAGTATGACAATTAGGTCAGACTGTGCAGAAATTGAAATCTACACGCTAATACATACTATACTCATAGTCACCAATGCTGATGTTGCTAACATTAATCATTTGAGAATAATGTATAACAATAATAATAATTTGAACCGTTTGATGTGATATGAGCTTTTTAATTTATGGTGATTTAATCACCGTTGGTAGTGAGATTTATGGTAATGCTTTTTTCCTCAGTTGGTCAGAACAAACGTGGCAGACTTGTTACTTACTTGTTCAGATGGCAATATAAGGTGAAAATTCTTATTCTTATCACGCATTACAATAAAACGAAATATCAAACACCACTGCCTTTTCGTTTTCTTCAAAATATAAAACACACCCCTTTTCGTTTTCGGATTAAAAAGATTTGTATTTTAAAGAAAACCAGTTCGAAGGGAGGTATAATTAGCTTTTTGGCTTGAAAGAATTTCTTAATATGAAATTCGAAGAGTATGACAATTAGGTCAGACTGTGCAGAAATTGAAATCTACACGCTAATACACACTATACTCATAGTCACCAATGCTGATGTTGCTAACATTAATCATTTGAGAATAATGTATAACAATAATAATAATTTGAACCGTTTGATGTGATATGAGCTTTTTAATTTATGGTGATTTAATCACCGTTGGTAGTGAGATTTATGGTAATGCTTTTTTCCTCAGTTGGTCAGAACAAACGTGGCAGACTTGTTACTTACTTGTTCAGATGGCAATATAAGGTGAAAATTCTTATTCTTATCACGCATTACAATAAAACGAAATATCAAACACCACTGCCTTTTCGTTTTCTTCAAAATATAAAACACACCCCTTTTCGTTTTCATTTAAAAATATATAAAACATATTAATATGTGGTTTGAGTAATATGTGCACATATACTCTGATTATCTTCACTGTAACGTTATGTATAATAAAATTAAATATGACAAGCACAACTCAGCCTTTTTTGTTAAATGTCAGTTTTAATGAACAATAATAGCCATTATAAAAGTATAAAGAGACTTATGTAATAGGAAATAAAGACAAAAGCAAACAATTCAGTCAAATATGTATGCAACAGTCAGCGCTGTATTACCATTAATAAATAAATAATTTATGAAACAACTTTGTGCTCAGCCAAAACGATATAAGTGACGTGACATGTGGCCAAGTATGGTGACCCATACTTGGAATTAGTGCTCTGCATTTATCCCATCCAAAGTGCACTCACACACACACACACACACACCGTGAACACACACCCGGAGCAGTGGGCAGCCATTTTCTTGCTGCGGCACCCGGGGAGCAGTTGGGGGTTCAGTGCTTGGTATTGAAGGTGGGAGAGAGCGCTGTACATTCACTTCCCCCACCTACAATCCCTGCTGGTACGACACTCAAACCCGCAACCTTTGGGTTACGAGTCCGACTCTCTAACCATTAGGCCACGACTTCTTTTTATTCCACGAATTTTACCTCATTTTTAACCACTACAGAGACAGCCGAGCCAGCGGCAAATGTCAGAAGGACAATGAAATATCAGTTGAGGCTGCTCGCAGTGGGATACATGACGGTGATTGCCTGGAGTTCACGTCTCCGAAATCGGCGAAGCACATTTTCAAATAGGTTCTATCTTTATAAATAAACCACAGATTTGAGTTTTAAACAATTACGTTCTCGCCTGAAATGCTCTTAGAACTGCATTTCATGGCACAATAACAGTAGTATTTTGAAAATTATGCAGGTTTTCTCCGCCATTAACGCTGGCTGGTTGGTGCGAAATGCATTTTGGGATACCTGGCTGCCTCAAGTTCGCACAAGTCACCTCTGGATGCATCCTTGATAAAAGGGGCGGAGCAAGAACACATCCAGGTATTTAAACTGTACTTGGCTAGATGGGAACAGTCCACAAGAACACAAGTACAGACAAGAACGCATACTGAGAAACGGCCAATGTCTGATCTGCCCTAAACTTCACATGTTTGATAAGAGTCCTGGCCTTAACGCAGCTTAAGGCCAATATTCAGTTATAATCATACTGCCACCTGCTGGCAACAGAAAATTACTTGTTTTACACTAACTTAAACATGCAATGTCCGATCTGCCCCTAACCTCACATGTTTGGTAAGAGCCCTGGCCTGAAAACATTTACATGCCAATATTTAGTTATAATTTATAGCATCACCTGTTGGCAACAGCACATTTCATGTTTTACACTAACTCAAACATACTATGTTCAATCTGCACCAAATTTCACAGATTTGATAAAAGTCCTGGTCTGAAGACATCTACATGCCAACATTGCGTTACAGTCATAGCGCCACCAGCTGGCAGTAGGAAGTTTGGCACATATAAATTACTTATTACATATTCCTCCTATATTTATCACTTTAAAATGCCATATTGCCCAACATTAGTTGTTCTCCTAAAGCCACCGGGTGGTGGTGGGCCCGGGTGCGAGGGCCCTTTCATCGCTGTTTGCAGCTTTAATTTAACTTAAACCTGACAAAACTGTTTTACAGTGTACAGTAATGCAAGAAAGTTACAACAAACTAACTTCAGGAGGCATCAACAAATGACAGGGGGACTATAGCAAAGGTATCGCCTGACTATCTGTAGGATTGATTGTATATTTTAAACACCCATGCAACTGATTTATACTTAAATCAAGGGTGTGAAATGTAGGAGTTTACGCTGTGTGCTCACAGCCACCTGACCTCAGTGTGTGCTCTCACTGCAATCTATAGCCCTGTCACCGGCCCGAGAGAAATAGTCCGACACCGACTCATTTCGAAAATAGACCAGACCGTCTTGACCCCCTTACCCATACACTATGGCAAGCCAATTTCACATTTAACATTATGATTTAACATTAATTTGAATTTCTAGTTAGTAATCCTATAGTGATTAGTATATATTAAAGTACAGTATTATACGGTTCTCTGGTATACTTGATTCTGATTGGTCTGTTATAACATCCCAAGATCTGCTATTTTCTGTAGGCTACAGAAAGCAGGTGCTTTTTTCATGTCTTTTGTATCACACCACAGACTTGCTTTCTTAATTTCCTGCAAAAGCAAATGCTTCAAAGTTGTTGAAAACAAAACTGGATGACTTTAGTATTAAAGGTGCAGTATAATATTGACAGCTAGCGGTTGACATGGGTACTGCAGTCCAAATTCAAAATATTGTTTATCCTGACCTCCATCCTTAGCTCATGTTAACCTCCTTAACCCATCTCTTTTAGAGAACTACAGACCGGTTTTCCTTCTTCCTTTCATTGCAAAAACACTTGAACGAGCTGTGATCAACCAAGTCTCTGCCTTTTGCACACAGAACAACCTCCTCGACAGCAACTGGTTTCAGACATTCAACCAAGACTGCCATGCTCTCAGTTGTTGAAGTCCTAAGACTGACAAGAGCAGATTCCAAATCTTCAATACTTATCTTGCTGGATCTGTCCGCTGCTTTTGACACGGTTAACCACCAGATCTTCCAGTCAACCCTATTGGTAAAGGGCATCTCAGGAACCGCACTCCAGTGGTTTGAGTCTGACCTCTCAGATAGGTCCTTCAAGGTATCTTGGAGAGGTGAGGTGTCCAAGTCGCAACATCTAACTACTGGGGTGCCTCAGGGCTCAGTTCTTGGACCACTTTTCTTCTCTATCTACATGGCATCACTAGGTTCTGTCATTCAGAAACATGGCTTTTCATATCACTGCTATGCTGATGACACTCAACTCTACCTCTCATTCCATCCTGATGATCTGACGATAGCTGCTCGCATCTCAGCTTGTCTAACAGCAAACAGACATTTCTTGCTTGATGAAAGACCATCACCTTCAACTCAACCTTGCCAAGACAGAACTGCTTGTGGTTTCATCAAACCTATCGTTTCATCACAATTTCACCATCCAGTTAGGCACATCAACCATAACTCCTTCAAAAACAGCCAGAAACCTTGGAGTTATATTGATGATCAGCTGACTTTCTCAGACCATATTGATAAAACTGCCCGGTCCTGCAGATTTGCTTTATTCAACATCAAGAAGATCAGGACCTTTCTTTCGGAACATTCTTCACAACTGCTTGTTCAAGCTCTTGTTCTGTTCAGGCTGGACTATTGCAATGCACTCTTGGCAGGTCTTCCAGCCAGTTCTATCAAACCTTTACAATTAATCCAGAACGCGGCAGCAAGATGAATTTTTTATGA